CAATGTATACTATATGCAAGTTGCAGTCAAGCAAAATGTAATCCACTATTCTGTGCAATTTACATGAACTTATAAAATCATTTTCAGATTCTATATATGTGGTAAGATTTATTAACTACCTTATTGTTTTAATTCAGCGATGTATCTAACAAAGATACTCCAGTAGTTTTTGGTTAAGAGAAACAGGCTAGTGAAAAGGAAATCTTTATCCATTAGAATTTGATGAACACATACACACACACACACACACACACACACACACACACACACACACACACAGACTCACACACACATATGTCCAGATTCACTACAGCCAGTTATTTCTTGCCAAAATTCCACTGTTGGAATTCAGCATTTCAAATAAAATATTTGTAGGATTAATTTCAACAGATTGCTCGCTAAGTTCCTTTGGCTCATCAGTTCTATGGATTTTGATCTCCACTCATCCTGTGTCAGGTCAAGACACAGGTTTTATTTCGACCTTAAGACAGGCTAGCCTCAGGAAGACCTTCCTTGCTCCAGGAGTTGATATTGCCATGCTCCATCATCCACTATGTCCTACACAATTGTGTTTCAATTTCATACTTATTTTTGCCTATGATTGAGACGCTGGTACAGAACATATTCAATGTATCTCTAAATTTTCATGTTATGTCCACTGAATCATGTTCTACTTCAGTCAGTATTCACATTTGTTAAACAAGGTTAAAAGCACTCCATGGCACAGACTATTTAAAAGATGGAAACAGCCTTCTTTTTCTCTGGAAACCCAGTCATGTGTATTATGTATGTCCATGTGCAGATGTTCTGGAAACTTGAAATTTAATTCCTACCTGAGAAATGCTTCTTTCTGTATTCAGATCATGACTTCACACTTTGTTTCCAAAACATTCAGTAAATGCAGAGTAATCACGACTATCTGAATCAAAAGAAGAATGAGGATTGAGGGAAAAAATACTTTTCTATATAGAAATAGCAGATGGGCCTGTAGACTACACATGCAACAATGAAGTCAATATAAAGATTGTCAAGACATGGACCTGCAGGAGAATTTTCTAAATGGGTGCCATTTTCCATGAAAATGATATTGCAGCTGGAACAGAACAGGGTTCTGAGGTTACAACTGCCAGGCAAGCACCATGGCAGACATCTGAAGGAATCAGGTGGAAGCCAGTTCACAGGTCAGGTCACAGACTTCACATATTTATAAGGAGACTCCAACTTCATCAGATATAATCTAGTCTGTCTCCATCTCAGAACACCTTATCCCACACTTGCATTTCTAGCCTCTATGTTGTTTCCTTGTGTATTTGATTCCTGCTCTCTGAGGAAATCCTCCAGCAACCAGGTTCCAATACTAGGGTTTTTGTCAACCGGTGACCATGGGTCCAAAACATGGTAGCAAAGATATAAAGGAAGACTCCGTATAATGAGTTGCCCTCATCTCCCTGGTCCTCTTTTCAGCTGACAATGCACACAGCCTTCCTTCATCACCCAATAGCTGGTGATGAAAGACCAAATATTTGATACTGAAAGGACAGAGAAAGTGATCCAAAACCTATACTGATGAGCAAGTTGACAGGTGCCTTTCCTGGATTACATATGGGCTACTGCAGTGCTCCACAAGGGCATTAGTACACTCAAAATGAGGTTTCTCTTGTATATACAGAGCAGGTATTGACTATTTTTTGCAAGTTTACTCCTACATGCAGTAAGTAAGATGGAAACTGTACTCCAGTGAATTCAGATTATGTAGTCTGGAAATGACTCCTAAACTGGGGTGGGGGGTGAGAACAGGCCGGATATACTAGAGTGTGAGATGAGGCCAATCGTTTTACTTCCTTATGATAAAACAAGGCCTATTTAACTTTTCAGGACAGATGTTGGAATCCAGGACATTTATACAGACCTATCTCTTCAGCAATGTTTTTCATTTGCAGACATGTTTTCACTATGTTTCCAAGTTACCAAGCCTGGCTTTAAATTGCAAAGTTGAAAACCTCTTGCCTCAGGTTCCCAGATGCCTTAAATCAAATGAAATCACCAACTTTCCTATGTCTGAAACATTTTATTAAAAAGATAATAAAACGTTAAAATTTCAAAATATAAATATGAACTACATTGTAGTAATTCATCAGCAATATTCTATATCAAGATCAAGTGTGCAGAAATCCCAAATGCCTCAATGTATATTAAAATATTGGTGAGTAATATTTTTCACACATGGAAACTTACACAAATAACATTTTATATATACTTAAAATTTTAGAATATATTGAAAAATGTACACAAGTAAATAACTAAAGCGTACTAAACACAGTAATTAGCATAATAACCACAGTATAATCAGAATCTTGTGAATGTGTTCTCTTTCTCTTCACATCTCATACTGCCTTGCACTTAACCTTCTTGTCAGTTTGTGACATCACGTGATGGCTCTCAAATTATGCAACATGAGATAAATGATGACTCCATGAGACATCAGATTTATTTATGCTACTGAGAACGAAACATGACTTAGACTTTCTCAACATTTATTTCTGAGTTTTATTTTAATATCATAAGATGCTGCTGAAATGCCACTGTGGATCATGTGCCTAAATGGGTACTACGAGAGTTTAGCAGTGCCATGTCCCCAAAGACTGTACAGAGAGCAGCAAAAGTGGTGTATTATTATCCTGCATGAAATTTATTGCTAGAAATATAATGCTACAGCCTGGGCATGAAGGTGTATGCTTGTAATCTCAGGACTTGTAAGGCTAACACAAGACGATTGCTGGAACTTCAAGATCAGCCTGGACTACAGATGGAGCCCAAGGTTAGCCTGAACTACAAAGTGAGCTCATGACCTGCCTGGCCTACAAAGTGAGCCCAAAATCAGCCTGAACTTCATAGCAAGATTGTTTCAGACAATCAAAACTAATGGTACAAGTCTCATGCATTGAATTCACGCACTTGTAGTTGTTACCTTATTTATTGCACACTGGTGATTCTTTCTTTCTGGTGTCATGATTTAAACATCACTTCCATCACTTACTAGTGCTATTCTGGCAATCATATTCCATGCATTTTCTTTGAACCCTAGGAACTTATGTGAAATCATGATCCAATTGCATACTCAGGATATTACTATTTATAAATGACTGCCTTAATCTTAGAAGGATGGTGCTTACATTTGTAGAAAAGTACATGATGTGTAATAGGCAGTAGGAGCATACTTCTTTCAAAATAGAGATGATCAAGAAAGAGAAAAAACATAAATTGGGCATGTTAAGGCTACAATAATGAACTCACACCTATTATACCCACTGATGCCTTCCAAAGATGAACACTTACATTGTGAACTAAAAACAGGCACTAATGCATTTATACATATTTTAAATTTTCTTTTGCTTTTGTGATTATCTTATCATAAACATACATACATAGTTGCATGTCATGAGCTGTTGTGAAGGACACTGCTAATGTGTTTGTGAAGATCTTTCTACAAGAAATAATTGATACACATCCAACTGGAAAAGAGTGGAAAAAATCGGTGTCATCTATGCAGATGTTGGTGGATCAAAAATGTGGGGGAAATTCTTCAGAATCCTTGAATTATCTTTAAAAACTATATTTTCAATAGTAAGCCTATAAATAGTTTAGCTAGTTACATGTGATACTGAAGCATAAAATAAATGTGCTTTGGATTATCTCCATCATCAAGTGTGATCGCTGGAAATTCTATAAAAATATATTCACATCAATTTTTTTGGTATTTCTACAGATCTTGACTACAAGAGTAATTTGCAAAGTATTTTCAAAATAGTCACTTACATATGTCAATTTTTTTTCATAGTGCTGACTTTCATGTATTTGACCATACGCAGGAATACTGAGTGCTTTCTCAGACAGCATACAGAGGCATAATGTTGGAGGTTAGCATCTCTGTCAATGGAAAATTTTACTCAATACATTTTTCACAGCTATAACACAGTGTGTGAGAAATTTAGCATTTATACAATGAAAAATTTGCAAGAAATCCTTCTCACATTAACTACTTACCTGTAATGTTTCCCTGTTTGCATTATTTCATTATTTGATGGCATTATTGTGCACTGAATGCTTTTCTCCATTGTTGGAATGCATAGGGTTACTTCCTTATATGAACTCTTTCATGTCATTATAATCACTGGTGGTGTGCTAATTTGCTGTATTGCTTACATGCATACAGATTCTCCCCATTGTGAGTTCTTTCATGTGTTCATCAGGTACAAAACGAACGGAATGTTTTCCCAAGTTGCTTACCTACATAGGGTTTCTTCCCATTGTGGAATCTTTGATATATTTACAAGCTATGGGCTTGGCTGATAGATTTCCCACACAGCTTACATACTTAAGTTTTTTCTCTGTGTGGGATCTTCTAGTTCTAGAAAATGTGGATTATCAGCAGAGCTTTTAAATTATGACTTATATAAGTTTTCTCTCGAGTGTGAATTATTTTATGGATGAGATTACAATATTGATTGAGAGATTTTCCACATTATGCACCTACATAGTCTTTCTCCCTACTGAGATTTCTATCATGTTTTTTATAACCTGTTTGTATACTGAACATGTTTCTAAATGTCTTGCATGATAAGATTTTTCCCTAATTTAATTTCATTCTTGTTTCTGACAGTGAATGTGTCTGTCTTTTCATTTGTGATGGTATATCTTAACATTAGGATGGCTACATGGATACAGGCCATGAACACAAGCACAATTTTGACTAGGAATGTATAGACACTTTTTGGTAAACTGATACAAGAGTTACAGATTCTGATGGGAAAAATTGTCATGAGACAATTAGGTGTCATCCATCAAAACAAGACATTGGCGGATCAAAACATGGAAAAAATGATATAGCATACTTAAATTTTCATTAAAAAGTGCAACATTTTTATTAAGACTACATACAGATAAAATATTTATTAAAAAAGCCAAAAATATTTTAGGATAATTCTGTTTCAGGTTGTCTTCAAAAATGTATGAGCATATATTGACAGAAATTATTTTATAATATTTTGGCAGGTCTCCTCTACATGACTAATTTTGAAATTATTTTCAAAATAGTCCCTTACATATGTATGATTTCACTTAACTCAGATTACTTTCACACTTTTGACAATAAACCTGTATACTGAATACTTTCCCACATTGCATACATAATCTTGGGACATATTATGACATCACTCAGAAGGTTAGCAGCTATCAGCTGAACTTTTACCAAATCTTCCTTACATGCAGTTACTCCCCAATGTGAGAGGAATCTTATGTTTTCAAAAGGGAAGCACTGCAGCAAACCTTTGCCACACTGCCTACATATATATGATATCTTCCTTGTATGCAAAATTTCCCTATGGCATTTTTGTGTGCTATGTATGATCTACCATTGTTCAATTGCATAGAATTACTACACAGAGGGAGTTCTTAACTGTAGTGGCAATCTCAATGGTATGGAAAGTCTTTCTATATTCCTTATGTTCATAGGATTTTTTCCCAGTGTGATATATTTGATGTTATAAAGTGAGAATGTATAAACAAATCCATTGAATCATTTCTCATATAGATAGAGATATTTTTATAGAGTGAATTTTTTTCTATACAAAAAAGCTACAATTATAGCTAAAATACATCACAAATTACTTACATCAATGGAAAGGGTTCATTTTCAGCACTTCTGTACACTGAATGTTTTGATATATTGGTTGTACCATAGATGTTCTATAGGGTGTGAGTTCTTTCATGAGTAATAAGGTGACTGCTTTGACAGAAAGATTTCCCACATTGCTTACATACAAAGGGTTTCTCCCCAGTGTGTATTCTATAATGTGATTTACAAGCAGAGGACGTACTGAATGCTTTCCCACATTTGTTGCATGCAAAGGGTTTCTCCCCAGTGTGAATTCTATCATGTACTTTACAAGCAGAGGAGGTACTGAATGCTTTCCCACATTTGTTGCATGCAAAGGGTTTCTCCCCAGTGTGAATTCTTTCATGTATAAGAAGGTTAGTCTTTTTATTGAAAGATTTCCCACATTTGTGACATGCAAAGGGTTTCTCCCCAGTGTGAATTCTATCATGTGCTTTACAAGCAGAGGATGTACTGAATGCTTTCCCACATTTGTTGCATACATAGGGTTTATCACCTGTGTGAATTCTTTCATGTCTAATAAGGTTAGTCTTTTTATTGAAAGATTTCCCACAATGCTTACATACAAAGGGTTTCTCCCCAGTGTGATTCTTTCATGTTTAATAAGGTCACCGTTTTGACTGAACAATTTCCCGCATTGTTTACATGCAAAGGGTTTCTCCCCAGTGTGAATTCTATCATGTGCTTTACAAGCAGAGGATGTACTGAATGCTTTCCCGCATTTGTTGCATCCAAAGGGTTTCTCCCCAGTGTGAATTCTTTCATGTTTAATAAGGTCACTGTTTTGACTGAAAGATTTCCCACATTTGTGACATGCAAAGTGTTTCTCCCCAGTGTGAATTCTATCATGTGCTTTACAAGCAGAGGATGTACTGAATGCTTTCCCGCATTTGTTGCATCCAAAGGGTTTCTCCCCAGTGTGAATTCTTTCATGTTTAATAAGGTCACTGTTTTGACTGAAAGATTTCCCACATTTGTGACATGCAAAGTGTTTCTCCCCAGTGTGAATTCTATCATGTGCTTTACAAGCAGAGGATGTACTGAATGCTTTCCCGCATTTGTTGCATACATAGGGTTTATCACCTGTGTGAATTCTTTCATGTCTAATAAGGTTAGTCTTTTTATAGAAAGATTTCCCACAATGCTTACATACAAAGGGTTTCTCCCCAGAGTGAATTCTATCATGTGCTTTACAAGCAGAGGCCGTACTGAATGCTTTCCCACATTTGTTGCATGCAAAGTGTTTCTGCCCAGTGTGAACTCTTTCATGTATAAGAAGGCTAGGCTTTTGATTGAAAGATTTCCCACATTTGTTGCATGCAAAGGGTTTCTCCCCAGTGTGAATTCTTTCATGTTTAATAAGGTTACTTCTTTGACAGAAAGATTTCCCACATTGTTTACAGGGAAATGGTTTCTCCCCAGAGTGAATTCTATCATGTGCTTTACAAGCAGAGGATGTACTGAATGCTTTCCCACATTTGTTGCATACATAGGGTTTATCCCCTGTGTGAATTCTTTTATGTCTAAGAAGGTTAGACTTTTGATTGAAAGATTTCACACATTGCTTACATAAAAAGGATTTCTCCCCAGTGTGAATTCTATCATGTACTTTACAAGCAGAGGCCGTACTGAATGCTTTCCTACATTTGTTGCATGCAAAGGATTTCTCCCCAGTGTGAATGTTTTTATTACTGTGACAGCCACTGAGTTTACTGAATGCTGCTCCACATTGCTTGCATTCATACTGTTGCTTTCCAGTGTGAAGTTTCTTATGTTTTTTAAAGAAATTACTGTGAGATAATGCTTTTGCATATTTTTCAATTCTATGATATTTCTCTCTACCATATTTTCTAACAGGTTTTTCAATATTGGATGAAGAAATAGAAATATTCTCATAGTGTTTTTGTACATAGGGGTTTCCCAAATTGCGGTTTGTCTTGGGGGTTTGAACACTGTTAGGTGTTGTGTGGGCTTTCACACTTTTGTTACCTACAAAAATTTTCTGCCCAGAGTGAATTTTTTCACTAAGATCAGATCTCTCCTCCTCATTTTTTCCGTATTCACAGGGTCTCTCTACAGTGTTCCTCATTTCATGCTTCTGAAAGGACTGGAAATCACTGCAGGTCTCTACATCTTCATTACATTTATATGGCTGCTCTTCAATTCTCAAATAATTGTCTTCATCACATCTGTGTAGAAATAAAAATGATATCAATCACAATGGAAAAGGCTCCACATTAGCAATATTTTTTATGATGACAAATTTAGTTTGATTCCTGCTAAGTAATTCTGATGGTTAACTGACTCACTGCACTGCAGGACTGCTTTCAAAATACTATCCATTCTAAAAATTGTTACTTTTTTTTTTTTTGTACCAGGGATTGAACTCACAACTGCATGCTTGCAAGGCAGGCACTTATGCCCCAAGATAAATCCTCTGCTCCATTTAGGCAATTTTAAATTGTTATGTGATTCTAATACTTAATATCATTTTAGGAGACTGGTACAAATGAATAGCAAACATTGATCATTTTTTGTAGCTCTTTGTGTCTTAACTCCCCTTTGTCTATTTAGCCTGATCATCTTTCTCATCTACAGAACATAAGGATTTCTGGTCATATATTCTCTCTCTTTACTTTCACTTCTCAAATAAGTTTTTAATTTCTCATTTAAGAAAAAATCTGAGTTGTGGCTAGGGATTTAGCTCAGCAGCATAAGCACCAGCCTGGCAAGCATGAGATTGTGAGTTCATTCCTCAGTACCAAGAGAGAGAGAGAGAGAGAGAGAGAGAGAGAGAGAGAGAGAGAGAGAGAAGAAAACCTGTAATATTTCCATTTCTATGTCTGAATTACTTCACTTAAGATTCAATACTTCTTGTTTCTTGGGAAATGATATCATGGTTCCCCAGATAGCTTTTTTTTCAACGTGGAGTTAAAAACAGGTCATAGAATGAACTACATTTGCTGACCTATTATTTGTTTTGTTGAGAGAGATTTTTATTGGCCATCAACTTGTCCAAGCTGAACTTCAAGTTATCATCCTGAAGATTCAGCTTCCCCAGCTGCTTGGGTATTGCAGAAATGCACCACAATGTTGAGCTGACTCCAAATTTTCTTTACCTTGGCATGCAGTGATGGGCATCTGGGCTCTTCTCAATGCTTAGCTACTGTGAGTTGATTCTTGTATTAGATATTGTAAATGCCCTTTCATGTGCTTTAACAAACAACACACTCATGGTTCACTAACATTTGATGATTTTAATGTATTTGACAATATACTGAGAGAATCATTACACATAATGACAAAGTATGGCCCATTCAATATTCAGGAGGTAGAAGCAGGAGGATTGCTCTGAGTTTCAGGCCATTATGGGCTTCACAGTAAGTTCAAAGTCAACCTGAACTACAATATAAAATCATGGCTCAAAAGATTTAAAAAAGGATATCATTGTGGATGTACATGTGAAACAATATGAAACATGTTGTTTTAATTTTCAGACCACTGAATAGTTTTTACCATGTTTGTATTTTATTTATCCATCAACAATGTATGAGGAATTTTAAACCTTAACAGCTCAATATTTTATGGGATATTTTCATAGTACTTATTGTAATAGTAGAATTCATTTTCATTTTGAAAGCTTATGCTATGTGAATATAATTCTAGATCATGGAAGTCTCAGTATTCACATGTATATATAAATGGTATTTTGAAGATGGGTTTTTATCAACTTTCACAATTTTTTTCATTTCCTACATATCAAAATACAATATTTAAATTTATTATCATACATTTCTATGATGTTGATCATGAAGGCAATTTTTAAACTGATACATTAGATAGTGTTATTTACTACATGTATTAGAATTACATCTCATTCTTATATTTCAATATGTTTCTATGGATTCCCAGATAATACAAAATAAAATCAAGTATATCTCTTGGTATTTTTTTTTTGTCTTTTTCATTTTTATCGGTACCGGGGATCGAACTCACGACCGCCTGCTTGCAAGGCAGGTGCTTATGCCGCTGAGCTAAACCTCCAGCCCCATATCTCTTGGTATTTTTTGAGGTTAAATAAGGTATAACATGATCTCATTTCTTCAGGTTCCTTTGTTTTAATATTTATGCTCACACACTGACAATTAAGTAATGTGCTCTTTCTCTTATGTGTTTCAGTCACCTTATATTACTTGAGCAATTTTTGTCCTCTTCCTTAATTTGCTGATTATTCCATATTTTTCCTGTAATATGGACATAGAAATAAAATACACTTACTATAACTGTACATTAAAACATCTCTGATTTGATTTATACTCATAGTATAGTATAATCAGACTTGAGATATACAAGCAAATGTTATTATTATCAAATATATTAAACTGTATCAATGAGCAATAATTAATGCTGTTAGTATAAACAAACATATCATCCTTACCTGTTGCAGTAATATTCATATATGTTTCCCACATCACTCCTCTGTAGAGCTTCTTTTGGGATGGAGTCAGCAAATCCCACTCTTCTGGAGTGAACTTCACAGCTACATCCTCAAAGGTCACTGTCTCCTAAATAATGACAAGGGTCCTGAAGTTCAGGCATACATAACCTGATATATCTCAGTTCCTGTAATAAGTACTCTAACTGAAATTCATTCTTTCAAGTATTAACTGCATGTCATGGTCATCAAAACTCAAGTACATTCAAATATAGTCACCCAGTAACACTGATGCTAGACTATGACACACTGCTAAAGCAATCAGAGAACTGTACCATGGTTTGTCTCGCAGGGCCACCAATAGTGTAGTTTTTCACTTACTTTAAAGCAGAGCTCAGAGAGTTAGCATGCAAACCACCATTCACAAAATATTGGTTATTCATAACACGGAGTTTGTCTTTCTTATCAACAGCATCATGGTCTTGAATCTAGATTTATAGATAAATATTTATTTGAATATGAAAAGAGATTTCTGAGTGATTAAAATTTAATGACAGAAAGGTTTTATTTGACCATTCTATAGACAAGAAAATAAGGGAAAATGTAGTTATAAATCTATAGCTCAGGGATACTAAATTATCGCCTTGTACGTATATACTGGAAATTCCACTAGGGTGCAAAGGAAGATAATGTGGGGAAAAAACCATATATGAAATGCTTGAACTAGAGTGAAAATTGTGGAATAGCAAAGTAACTGGTCACTAAATACAGAAGGAAGAGTTCAGTACAGTGGAGTAGTATATGCTTGTACTCTCAGAACTTGAAATCATGATGTAAGAGGATTACCAGAAATTTCATGCTTGCCATGCATACAGTGTCCACCCTGGGCTATGTAACAAGGACAGTTCAGACTACAAAGTGAGGCCATTCATTAAACCCTGTACCAAATGAAAATTAAAATTAATTCACAGTCATTGACAAATCACAACTTTGCACCCAGGATATATCTCAATGGTACAAGCACCTATATGACATTTGCAAGGCCCTGAATACAATTTCCAGTACCAAAAAGAGAATTCAAGTGCACCTTTGATTAGTAACAACAACTGTACATGTATGTTAGAGAAAAAAAAACCTGCAAACATTGAATATTTGTGTGCAAGGAAACATTTTGCATAATAAACAGGAAAACATTTGACATTCAACATTCATATCAGTGGACAAATGGATCTCAGGAAAGGAAAACAACCTTCAATTCATTCACATGGAATATTATGTCACAACTCAGCTGGCATTGTGCTTCTAAGCAAGAAAGCACAATATGTTTCATTTACATTCAGAAAGAAACAGGTATGTCAATAGAAATCTGGCCTGCACACTATCCTTGCCTATGTGCATTGGCGAACAATTGAAATGGGAAAGAGAAACATGAATTACTGTGAAATTTATATGGAAAAATAGTTAGTGCAAAACTCTTCTGAAGAAAGTCAAGCAGCCATGAAAATTAGAAGTTGAAATCTATGAAAATTGGAATTAAACAAGAGAACATTTATTGGGAACACAATACAAAGATTTTACATAGAGTTAAGATCAATGAACACAAATCTAAAAATAAACAAAATTTATGTTTTGTTTATGCAGAAATAATGAATAGAAAAGAAAATCTAAATCACATTTGTGAAAATAACCAAACAATATTCAAGTGTGGAAGAAAAAATAATTAGATTTATTCTTAAATTCCACAAAATCCTTTTCTATGGAGTTTATGAAAATCTACACACAAGTGAATTCTTTCTAACATCTACAAAATATTTTGTTCTATGATTCCTTGAAATACACGTGATTCTTTTCAAGTGACATTACAGACTCAGAAACTGTGACCAAGAGAATAAATGAGAATGTACTTTGGTTTTGATTCACCTATCAGCTCTTGTGAATGACTGTGAGAAATGATTGAATTGATAAATACCACAAAAATCTCACAATATATTTTTATGTGCAATTTCAATGGTAGTTTCTAAAAACTTAAAGGGAATAAGTTAAAAATATAATTTCCATAAAAGAGCACATTGTATACTTTGGAATACTTCCAAAGAATTGTCATCAATTATGCAATAATACTTTCAGACCTGAATGTATTTTTCACATGGTTACCTTCATTTCTTGCTTAAGATCCTTTAGTGAAACTTTCTGAATACACCTGTGACTCTTTCACTGTTCTCATTAAATCTATACACAAAAGCTTTGAGAAATAAGATTTTCTTTAAATGATTAAAACAATAAATTACAATACAGGTACTAACTGATTTGTATGTGTTTATGTGTCTTGAGATATGAAATGACTGGACAGTTTCTATATTAGATAGTGTTAAACAAACTACAGTTACAAATATCAGTGTAAAAAATTCAGTGCTAACAGTTGTGAAATTTGAAGTTCACCAAAAGGAAAACAGGTCAGCCTATCAGAAGAGGAGACATTATCAGGAGAACAGGTCAGATTAAAAGGGACTGAGAAAACAGGTGTCAGAGCTGATTAATAGCTAGACAACTAGGTAATCTGCAAATACTCTTATGATCCAGAGAGCAGTGTTTATTGTGTGCACACTGATACGATAGGTTAAATAGTAAGCTATGCAAAAAGACATACCTCAATGCCATTGATTCAACAATTCATACGGACACTACATGAGCTTGATTATATTCCACATGTACAGTCAGTGGTTATTTAGAAACAAATATCATTCCTTAAT